AGAAGGGAAGTTGTCTAGCTTGACCGGCACAACCTTTGTTAAGGCTGCCTGGGGTCCCCGGGCCTTTTCACATCGGCGACCACACCGCTCCCAGCTGTCGGTGCCCTCCTCTCAGAGCTGCCCTCCTCTCTGAGCTGCCTGGCATAATCCAGGTGGCGGCTGACATGAAGGGACTTTTTTCCATCCCTCTCCTTCCCCCGCCCAGATCGGATGATATAGCGGGAAGGTTTTTTGGCTCCACCCCGGCTCGCCATCCTGATCCCATCTGGCCTCGTTTTCCCAGCAGTGACGTCCTACTGGAACGAGGCTGCAGCCAGACCTGGTAGACTGAGAACGTCAGTTTCCACATTCGCGCCCATCCCCAGAGTGCAGAGGTTTTATCGAGCAGAAATTCTCTCTGTGCCCTCCTGGAGCCAAGCCTGTTGGAGGCTCTCGGAGCAAAGATGTCCAAGTTGGACCAGCTTCCTGCACCTCCGGGGAGGCATGACCAGACAGTGACATCGCTCTCCAACCGAGCTCACCAGTATGCGTTCCAGGCGGCCGCAGTGAACAATAACGTTGCACCACTGACGTACATCATCTCAGAGGCCGGAGGGACAGACCTGCCTGAGGAGACGAAGAGCTCCCTCTGAAAGGCATCTGACGTCACCCTCAACCCGTGTACCTCGTCTGCTGTCTTCTTGTCTCGCATCGCAGACTGGATGACAATGGTTCAGAGGTCCACCTGGCTTGTCACTCCCCCTCCCTGTCGGAGAAGCTGCAGATGGACTCGCTGGAAGGCCCCATCACGACTGAAGCGCTGTTCGGAGCCAATTTTCAAGGACATGCTCGAGAAATGGAAAAAGCCGGAAGAGGTGTCGGAGATTGTGCGCCATCTGATCAAGCCGCACCCCTCCTCTCCTCTTAGAGAGGATGGGTCTCTCTCAAGATGTAGTGCATACGATCCAGGATTCACATGCTGCATCTACCACAGCGCTGTACACATCAAAGTGGACAGCTTTTCAGCGCTGCTGTACAGAGAAAGGTGTAGAGGCCACCTCATGTCCACTAGGTGGCGTGCTGTCCTTTCTGCAGCAGCTGATGGACAGAAATCTGGCATTCAGCACAATTAAAACGTACGCTGGAGCCATCTCTTCTTGTCACAAAGGTTTCGGGGACAGAACAGCTTTTAATCTTCCGCTGATGAAGCGTTTTTTAAAAGGTGTACAGAGACGCAGGCCTGTATCACGCCCACTTGCTCCACAGTGGGATTTAACGCTGGTCCTGCGAGCCCTGATCAAAGCTCCATTCGAGCCACTAGATCAGGTTCCGATTAAATTCTTGTCTCTTAAACAGCCCTGCTGTTGGCTTTAACATCCGTTAAGAGGGTGAGTGATTTATCTGCTCTCTCTGTTGCTCCGTCATGTCTCATAATTCAGCCTGATGGCAGCTCAGCTGATCTGAGGCCTAATCCAGCTTTATGCCTAAAACATCACGAGCTCTTTTAAATCAAGAGTGATATCGTTGAAGGGATTTTTTCCCTCCTCCCCACAATCAGAAAAGAAGCATCTTTCCTTCTTCTCTGCCCTGTACGTGCATTGACGTGTTGCGTAACACACACGGCGGCATTGCGTCAGACTCGACATTTGTTTGTGCACTATAGAGACGCATCTGCAGGTCGCCCGTTATCCATCCAGCGCCTGTCACACTAGCTGTGTGAGGCCATTTCTGAAGCCTACAGAGCATCAGATTTAGAGCCTCCTGATAACTTCAGGGTGCACTCGACCAGAGGTATCGCATCTTCACCTGCTTTGCATAATGGGATGTCAATGCAGGATATTTGCACTGCGGCCGCGTGGTCAACACCATGTTCATTTATTCGCTTTTATTTACGTGATGTGTTGGCTCGTTCCATGATGCATTCTGTCCTTAGTGCCTTAACAGAATGAATATTGTTGTTTCATGGAATCTCGTTTAAACTCACATATGACTGCATGCATTTACAGTGTGAGATGTTGTTATCAGTCACAGGTTATGACTGTTGTTCTTGTTCTATGGTTATTAATCAGTTCATGACTACTGTCATCAATCAGTTAATTTGATTAATAATCAGTTAATTTATTATTAATATGTTCATATTCAAGAGCCGTGGATCTGCTCTGTTCACGGCCTTTTTCAGCCTCTCCTCTTTTCTGTTGAAAACCTTTCCGGGGCGTTCATGCACTCGGACCGCGTAAATTACGCAATGCGCGTCTGTGCTAGGGCATTAACAGAGTACTCGAGTAATCTAGACATCGATTGCTAGGACATCTATCGAGGTTAAAAATGTTATGTCGAGTATCCGTAGTGACGTCATATTATGTGACCACCACAGGTCACAGAGTATGATGTAACACCGGGTCCAATCCACAGAAGCAGTTTCGGTTTAAGTTTCGTTTTTGACGTGTTGCATGTTTCTTCACGTTTGCAGTTTAATAATAATAACTAATAGTTTAGTTTTTCCTTTGACTTATTTGCAGTATGATAAATGGTAGGAGCATAATATATGCTCCCAATGTTTTGTTGGTCTTTTTTTTTTGTAAATAATTACCTTTTTTTGCGGTTTTATTTATTTATTTATTTTTGTATCTTGAGATCTATGACATTATCAAATACTCGAGTTCTACTCGGGTTTTATTATGTTAATGTCGAGTTTAAAAATTATATACTCGTTCAACCCCTAGTCTGTGCATGGTGCGCGTAATTACGCAATGCGTATTTACGCACATGGAGAGCTGAGTGACAAGATGTTTTTTGGGCAAGCGGGCGCTTCTTATGGTGTTCAAATGGACCCAGTGAGGCGGAGACTACATCTGCTTCGCCCTTAACCCACCAGCGACAGCCTTAAAACGCGAAGCCTATACGAAATAGAACGTTGGTTACGTACTGTAACCCCAGATTCTATGAGTATAGGCATAGTCCTTTAAGCGTCGGGCCTCACTGGCTCCTAAATGGCTGAAGAAAACGCTATTTGGGAGCCAATTACCCGCTTTTAACATAATTTATACAGACTGGGTGGGGCCCACACAACAGGTGGGTGTGGACTAATTTTTTTCAGTGCGATGCTTTGCATGACGGGATAAACCCACCAGCACCAGCCTTAAAGGGCTACGCCTATACTCATAGAATCTGGGGTTACAGTACGTAACCAACGTCTTTAGCTTTTTGTTAAATGTGCTGCCATGTGAACAAATGCCAACAGTGCCTTTCAGGTTTAAGATAAATAAATTAAATTAGATAAATAAATAAAACAATGCATATGCTATAGAGTGATTTTATCTGAAATGAAAACTGGATAGAATTAGCAGCTCTACTGGCACAGAAAGTGTTTTTGGTGCTCGATATTGACAAGTTTTGCAGCTAAAAACACAGGAGCACGTCCTTAGTTTCACAGCGTTTAATAATGCAGAGTCATAAAGATTATCTGTTTACTGCAGCTGTTTTTGCAAACATTCCCAGACATTTAATATAAAAAGTTAAATGGCACATACCGTTAGTTTTTTTTTTGTCTCTAATAAAAATGCACTCATTTCATTTGATGAAACACTTTATGTCAAACTTTATTATTTCTCTTTGTGTGGGTTCCTCCTTTTTCAGATTTCCATCTAGTTTGTTGTGAACCGTTGTTTGTAGACTGAAGAGCAGTGGTGTTGTTATATAATCATTCTGCATACACTACACAGAGGAACGCTGTTGCATTTTGAGCTCGAGTGTCTCGTTGACCTCGTCTTTGAAAGCTGGAGGAGACGATAGTCTCAAGTCTCGTTTCATAAATCTATGGCACCATGGGAAGGTCAGGAACCGTCTGTCCCTTGAAGAGTGCGACTTGACTCAGTGGGAAGAACTTTCCTTCATTTGACGATGGGCAAAATACTTCAAGTCTAAATGGTGTTGAAAAAGAGCTGGACGGAAAGCTTTTCTCTGTGCAGGCAGGAGGGGAGACAGCTTGTTAAGAAGGAGGTCCTGAAACAGTGAATAAAGACTCTGACAGACCTGCTGTGAGATGCAGGTTGTTTTATTTTCACTGGCAGACTGCTGAGTAGAGGAAGAGAAAACTTCAAATGGCTGTCTCTGTGCCTGTGGGACAGTTAACCCTTTGGGAGAGTTACCAAATCCAGTTTCTCATCAAGAAGTTGGTTGAGCTCGATGGATGGATGGATGGATGGATGGATGGATGGATGGATGGATGGATAAAACACTGCCTTTTATATCAGTGAATTATATAGGTGGAATGGCCGTTGTCCGATATTTAACTTTATCGCTAATATCGGCCGATACTGTGATGATAATATTGTCCATCCTTAATATGGAAAGGTAGATATAGATGGATAGACGAATAGCTGGATAGATAGACGGATAGATAGACACAGAGACAGATAGATAAATGGATAGATAGATGGATTGATGGACAGACTTATAGATGGATGGATAGAAAGATGAATATATGGCTAGATGGCTGGATGGCTAGATGGATGGATGGATGGATGGATGGAT